AATGTAAACAAAAAATTATAAATTTATATAAACTTAAGCTTTAAAATCTGTGAAAATCTCATAGAGAAGCGCTTTTCGTAAGAGCAAAAGAAAGAGAAAAACAGACAACAAAAGTGGGAGAAGCGGATGTGAATGATAGCCAATAAAATATCACATAAACAGGAATATTGAAAGCATTACTTGAATTCATGAAAATCTCATAGAAAGGCGATAAAAATATAACGAATTTCACAACAATGGAAGTGCTTTAAACTTGACAAGAGTGCGGCTTAAAAGCCGTTTGGCTATTCAGCCTAAATATACATCCCCCACTCATATATACAATGTGATTTATGGTTTTAATTTACAATGTAAACTTAAATATTAGCATTATTAAAACACACTAATCTTGTCTATCTGTTATGAAATTAACTTTACTTTTACCCCAGCTAACTGACGGTCAACAGAACATCTTATTAGATATACTACTCCTCGTCCTTTTCTGCTACGATGTCCTTGTTCAGTTGCTCTTTAAGCTGTCAGCAGCACTCGAATATGCGACAACAACAATGACCCAAACAGAGCACAACTGACACCAGCAATCGTGCAACTACAAATCCGAATCGCACTCCAGGCCAGCCACGCCCGTTGGGTTGTAAAATTTACCTAAGTAGGCTGCTGCTTTTGCCAGCTCTTGAATTGGCCACAGGCTGAGTTCAGGAATTGCGCTCGAGCTGGATTCGGTGTGCGGACTGCAGATTGCGGATGCGGATGTTTCGTGTGGTCGCTAGGCGAAGACTTTGCCATTTGCCGGCGTGCAATTTACTCAAAAGTTTTCCTGCCACAATATGTTGCAGGAAGGAGAGAAATACGTTCAAGACCGAAAAGTCCTGGTGGGTGTGGGTGAGGGTGTAAGAGTCTGTGTGTGTAAGAGGACATCAACCGCCCATTTTTTGACTTGGCATCGCACGTGCTGCTTGCAGCGAATGTTAATAACATTTGGTGGCAACAACAACAACAACAACTACAACAACAACAACAACTACAACAACAACAGCAGCAATGGCAACAGTAAAGACAAATTTACGCACTCGACAACAACTCGACACTGTTTTGTTGCAGTTGTTGTTGTGTCTGTTGCGCCGTTGTTGTCGCTTCCTTTAACGAGCTCATCCTTGTTGCAACTAGCGTACGTGGCATGCCCCGCATATAGCCAGACTCAGATGCAGCCGTCTTCTGCTTACTTTTACTACTTGACGCTGTCATTTGCGGCGTTGCAATTAATTTTTGCTTGCTGTGTGTGGGTGGGTTGTCGGTGGGTGGTAGAATCTGAGGGCGTATCTGGTGGCAGGGTGCTGACATGCCAGGGGGGTTGGGGGTTCGCTTGGCACACTAATTTCTGATCTCTGCTGCTGCAGCAACAACAAGAAAGTTGTCAAACGCTTCTCATTTAACGCCTCCATGACTCGGCTATCAATGTTGGCCCCCAGAGAGAGGGAAACGGGCACGAGCTATAGACAGAACGGGCCAGGTTAGCTGGTTTGGCCATGATAAGCGTATGCGTCGTTGTTATTATCATTTGAGTTCAGGTGCAGGCTGCAAGTTTCGTGTGGCTTGAGAGCTTAAAGCGAATTTGAGCTGCATATGCACATCATAGGAGTCGTGGGAGTATTGTGCGCAAGTCTCTCCATGCATATATATTTTATAAATAAAGCTGGTCTTCAATACAGAGAATTTAATTGCAACCTTAGTTCATTCAATATACACAATAATTTCTGCTTGCTGTGTGTGGTTTTTCTCTCCGTCTTTAATGACTTTACAGTCTGCTCGTTCAGTTAATGCCCTGCCAAATCGAATGCCCGAACTGAATATCTCTGCTAATTTCTCTAATTTATCCGCTTGGCTTCAATAATTCCCAAAAATATTCGTGCATGTCGCTTTTCTGTCTCTGCTTCGATTTGCTCAAAAGGCAAAGTCAAACTTTCGCCATAGATAACTGGCCGCCCACTGCTCCCGTCCGTAATCTAGCCCCCTGACAATTAGCATAAATGCATTTTGTACACACACACACACACACACACACACACATGCATGTTGAAGGAAAAAGAAGTAGGAAAATCTGCGAGGGAAATTGCTTAATTAATTTCCAAGCTATTGGCGTAAAATTGAAAGCATGCAAGTTGGAAGCTCTGCAAATAAAATTTAATTTTAATGCATCTTAGACCCGTTGCCGGTGGGGGGTTAGTGGGGGGCAGCTAGACCCGTAGGACGCATTCTATTTGATATTTTTATGTGCAAGTTTTCCAGTTGGGTTTTTTGTGTGTGCGGCAATCGCCGGTAAAACGGGTTGGGGCACGTCACAGCCGATGACGATGGCGATGGCGACCTACTTTAAAGCCTGAGCCTGGGACGACGGGGGACGTCTGCTGCTGCTGCTGTCGTTTGCTTGGAAGCTGGCGCCACTTTCTTTGGCGTCCAGTTGACTGGTTGACACCAATTTGAATGGCAAGTTTCAGTTTGGATCGCAACTCAGGCTCTTTATGCTATTATGCTAAAACTTAACTACAACTAAGCGACGTTCTCTCACGTGAAAGTCAATTTGTAATACTAGAAACAGCTAGAAACTCCGCCCAGAAGCGAACACGTTGCGCGTAATGAAAATGGCGCGGCTCGAATGCCGCAAGAGCTGCTGCCGGCTCGGCTCTAATATTACAAATTGCGGATCATGGCAACAGTGGCATTTCGTAGCGCAGAGGAAGTGCCACATTGAACTTATTTTTCCAGATGCAATCAAGAAAATTATCAATTTACTCCGGAATAGATCTCTTTCTCCTTTTCTAATCAACACTTGCTCTGTGCAAAGGAAAATTGCATTTTACAATTTAATGAGCGATTGTACAGCCGGTATAGGGGTATAAGAAAATAGAATAAAAGATAAAAGTATAACCAGATTGCAATCCTGATAGGTACTTCATTAAGTGCAAGCCGGAAGAGAATAGTTGCGAATCCCCTGAGCTACAGAAATTTCTCTATTTATATATTATTTTATATACTTTACAATTCAAGTCTGTGCAACATCTGCAATTATATTCGATTTAATATTAAATTTATTCAAAAGTATGCACATAAAAGCAGGTTTCATAAAAATGAAAGAGGAAGCTATAGATTTAAGAATCTTAGAAACTTTTTATTCCTCAATCATTTGAACTTTTGGAAATTGCTCACTGGAATCATTTGCACTTGAAGCCAGCACGCATTGCTGTCGGTTCGCAATCGTCAGCTCAACAAAGACCATATACGGCTTCCAGTATGCTCTGAAAAGAATCTGAAAACTGCAATAAAGCAGTTCAAGTTTTGCCATTCGGTTGTTGTTGTCAAATATTGGCCAAGACCAAAGCAAATGCACTTTCAAAAAAACAAAATAAAAGCAAACAAACAAAAAAAAACAAAGGCAAGTTGCAGCCAATGCTGCCAACACCAACACCAACACCAATGACAAAGACACCGCCTAAACGCCGAGCAGCCGAGCGGCAGCAACTGCATCGGACCCCGAACGACCCCACAGAAAAGTCCAAGACAAGTCTTGAAGCAACAAATTGAAATTGTAACAAAATGCTCACGACAAATATGCGGTTTCTGTGTATGGTTACAACTTTTTTATTTTTGTTTTTATTTTTATATTTTTTGCAGTGCTCTCGTGCAGCCCCATGACGTAATGGTCGCATTCAAGTCATGTGCTCTGCCTGTTGTTTGTTGGCTTTCGGCTTTCGGCTTTTGGCAGCGGCTAACCGCAGCGAAGGGAAGAGGCGACTGCAGCTGCGTCTAGGCCAGTTCCAGACCCGTCCAGCTTCGGCTATTATCTGCCTCGTTTTTTCAACGCTAACAATAATTAAAATTTAAAAACTGCATTTTATTTTTGTTTTTGCGGTGCTTTTAATTGCTGAGGAGTGGCCCATGCAGCGAAAGACACGTCAACAAACAATAATATTGTTGCAGAAACAAAAAAAAAGCGATGCATGTGAATGTTTATTGTATGAAAATAGTTTGCTGCTATTTTTTGTAATATTAGTAAATGTAAACTATAAAAATATTAATATTTGTAAAAATGAATTGGAAATTTGAAGGCGACATTTCAACAAGTTACAAGAGGCTTTCTTTGCCCAAGCAGCAGCTTGATTTTACTTAGATTCTGCAGGGAAATGTCGGGGTAGAAAAGACTGAGGAAGATTAAATGCAATTAAAAATATTTGTCTTTCACTATAACAAATCGACAATCAAAGGCAGCCAAAAACGATAAGAAATTCAAAATCATGACAAAATTTAACAAGAGGTTCTTGTCGGGAGCTCCCGACTAGGGGATACCCTGAACCCTCTTCTTCCAACATCAAATGCATATATATATTCTATTTTAGAAGCTATATGTCAAGTTCGGTGATTCTAACTCTTATTATTTACCAAAATTGCCCAAAAAACAGGATATCGATATCGATTGCTTGGAAACGGAGTAAGTTATCGATTATCGGAAACAAACTCGATCTGCGCAGGCACTAGGAGCACCTACATCTTTCAAGTCTCTGGCTCTTATAGGTTCTGAGATCCTTGCGTTCATACATACGGACGGACGGACGCACGGATCTAGAATATATATACTTTAGGGGTCGGAGATGCTTCCTTCTGCCTGTTACATACATTTGGATTTTGCACAAATACAATATACCCTTATACCCATTTTAAATGGGTTCAGGGTATAAAAGCAAAGATCTATAGGGATTAGACAAGCTATGTCCAGAGAAAGAGAGAGAGAGAAACAGACAATGAAAAATAATAGAAAGTAGTAAGAAAGGAAGACAAATGCATACGAAATGTGTGTTCCATATTCGATTATAAGGACTGAAGTGGTCGGGCAACGCCTGGTAAATTCAGCTAGTTCAACATAGAACTGTAGATATTTGGTATTAAATCGAACTAAGGCTTTTGCAGTATGGGCAGAACAAAATGCAAAACAAAATGACAGTATTGTAAGTGTATTAAACAGTCGTACATTTAAAAGATACAGAAAAAGAATCTTGTAGGTCACATTATATATGGCTTAATAGCAATCTATGATGACTGTCTATTCTTTCGGCGGTATTTTTGGCTCCATAGCTGGTGTCACCTTTGGTGACGCCCCAGGTGACTCCTCAGGTGACGCCTCTGGTGACGCCTCTGGTGACGCCCCAAGTGTTTCTGTGGGAGCAGCCTCCGATACCGCCATTTCTGTTGGTGACACTTCTGTTGGTGGCTTCAGAAGCGGGATGTTTCTGTATGTGGGATACCATGGAAGGAAATCATCGGTGCGATTGTACTCATTTGCATCGGGGTCTACAAATAATTTACCAACATATGCTGATTGCTCAAACAATGGTTGGCTATCATTATAAGCAGGTGGTGGATCTCCCACTGTTTGTCGTTGAACGTTGCTTATATCTGGTATAAATTCTTTTGGTGCTTTGGGATCGCCACTTACAGTGAGTGGTATGGTGCCAATTGTAATGGGAACATCAATATTCCATTTCATATGCCAGCCGCTGATTAGGACAGTCAATCTGATCATGTATGATACATTTATGATGAGCTTTTCCCGGGATGAGGGCGGTAGGGATGGTATTAAATAGTGGCCTCTTGCTATGCGCTTGTGCGTAGGAGAAACAATCTCCGATTCAAATTCGCCGCGAAAATAGGAAGAGACTATGCGCCTTTCATGTCTAATCCTAAATTCGTATATCTGTATCAGAGTCATTGAGAAACCTCTAACATGCCGATTCGACATATTGTCTATATGCACTTTATAGTTTATCGTTTGACCCGCCGCATAGCCACTATAGGGTATTGCAAGATGTAATTTTATGGGTCCCGAACGAAAGGGCCAGCAGCATAATCTCCTGATTGCCATATGCTCAATCGGCATTGACATTTCTGGATGCAAGTTGAGATTATAGGTCTGCAATACGGTCACTGGCCGAGTGAACACATTGTTGTATCTAAAGAAACGTTCCAACACGAGTGACAGCTCATAGGAGATCTTACCATATTTTCCCACACACGACGTGGGGCACTCCAGCGGAAGCGTTATGGAGAAAGGAAAGGTATGCGTACCGTCTGGCAGTCTGCCTTTCTCATAGACATCTGTGTGAGACTTGACGTACGTCTCTGTGGAGTGAGAGATCGCCCTATCGTACCTGACTTCGTTACCAGATATGGTGTCACTACGTTGCTCTTCAAACATGACCTTCGCCAGGCCTAGGAACATTATGTAGATCCTGTTAACAGACTTGATAGAAGACGTTCTTAAAATGATGCGCCCAGTAAATATCTCTCCGCTGTAGAAAACAGGATTGGGCCGATCGAATTTGAATTCACACGACGAAGTCATTATAAAAGTAATTGCATGAAGCTTGGAAAAACTAATGCAAATGTTAAAGTATCATAAATGGGAAGCTCTATTGTTAATTAAATAACAAAGAACTGGAGAAAGTTGATTTTAAAGCCTTAAGTTACGAACACGACGTAAAAGTGGTTTGAATTTTAAATACCATATTGAATTTTAGTTCAAAAATAATATTCCCATTTCCTAGTTAGAGGAAGTTTTTAAAAAACATCTCAAAGGTGACTGAGATTCGATTCAAATATATTTTAAGCCAATTCATTGTCCAAAACGGAAGAGATTCGATGCTAATAAACCTCCTTCATATTTTGATATAACTAATGGGGATAATATAGCAAAGTTTTTATTAAAAACATCAAAAGCAAAGAGACGTCCTGCGCGGCTTAGTTGCTATGCCGTACGAGTTCAAGATGCAGAGTTATGCTTAGTATTCTTACGGGTCATAAAATAGTAATAATAATATAAAATAATCATAGCAAAAAGAACAGTGAACAAATTCCCTTGTAAAACGGTCAATTAATCCAAATTAATTAAGTTTCTGTGCATTTAACTTGGAGTCGTTATTAAAGCTAACCGTGTATAAGTTGAGGGATTAGTTTCCCCACATGCTCCTTAAAATAAAAACCTGATTTACGATTAACGTTTCAGGAAGCTGACCAATTTTTAGCTACTCGTCTGCTACCAGACCGCGTTGCCGACTAAAATGTAAGCCAGTTACACACATAAACCATGCGATTGGCATGCAGCCGGCGACATGAAGGCATCAAAAGGCAGTCGACAGAGCTAGGCAAAGATGCAAAGCACTCAACTCAGTTTGCAGCGTTTTTATTATTGATTTTTGTTTAATTTAAGTGAAAGGTGCGCTGTTTGCGATTTGTTTCAAGTTACGTGGGGGTCACAAAATCTACAACAGACGGTGCACCTGCCACTGCTCTAGGCGGCTCGATTTGTTGGCTCCAGGGCAGCGGGCGGTCATTGATCAGCCGAAAATCAATCGTAAACTACATGTACATTAACTATGTAATATAGCTGAAGCGGGAATGCCCTTAATATGACTGGCAAGTGAGGCATTCGGCCGCACAGCACGTGGCGGGTAACACATTGACTAGCTCAAAAGTCCGAAGCAAGAGATTTATGACTTACGAACATGATGTTCAACAAAATAAAATCAATGTTTAATGTTCACTTTTCAGTGTTTTCAGCATGTACATGGCTTTGCTGATGCTGATGCTGTTGCTATCATTAAAATCCATTTTTAATTTTGCCACTTGGCCTCAAATCGCCTTTCACAACAATCAACAGCAATGGTAACAAATATACCGAGCTACGGGTGGGTTCATTAAGGAGAATTCCCATAAAAAGCGTATACATAGACTTTCCTTTTTTTTCAAAATATATACTTTGTATATAAAGCATCTGCATTTAACTAAGTACAGGGTATATCCAAATCAAACACTCTTCATTGGAGCATTTAGGTTCAACTTATCTGCAGATCTGCAACACGAACAATCAGCTCACAGCAAAACATTTCATTTAACACACACGTTTACAAATTTTCCAAATTTGGTTTTATTTTCCGCAAACATTTTGAGATGCTAGTCTGCTGCTGTTCAAAAATTTACTTGAGCCGCTGCCGCTGCATAAAATTTGATTGTTTTTGATCAAATATGCATGCAAACGTTGTAAAAATTGTTTGTCTGTTTTCTTAAGTTTGCCAAAGCACACAGCAGCGGCAACAAATTTCAATTTAATTTTTTTGTTATCTTATTCTTTTTTTTTGTACTCACAGACGAGCGAAAGTGAGTAACTACCCAGCCTAGAGTATGGTAACAGAGATGCAGATGAAGACGAAGGGGCGAGTCTTCCAAGTATGTAAATCACCTTAACTACAGTACACGGCGCAGATTTATGGGCGCCAGCTACTTAGCGAGCAGAATTTTTTATGGCCCCTGAGACTGGAACATGCTCGGGTTACCAAAGAGCGTAGAAACCGCCTTCAACTGGCACCCAGACTCGCTGGGTGGTTCCACCATTAGACGACCCTCCACCTCCCTTCCTCCCTCACCACTCCCCGTGCGACGCAGAACTGTCACAATCGATTAGATGCCGCCGGTTTGGGCGTAAAGTGAAAGCAATGGACGCTACGATTTTAGCAATGCCGCCTCCAATTAAAGAGCAATTAGCAGTCGGCACAATTTCGGATGCAGGTATTCGAAGCTCTTTCCGAGCATTTCGGCGGTGCTAAGTGGTGGCTTTTAGGGCTACGCCAGCAGAGTCAGCAATTAAGAGAATTGTCAATGTGTGGGTTAGTCCGAGTATTTAACACGGATTTGCATTGGAGCTTTAGTCACTTAAGTGTTAAAATAAATACATATATTTAGCTTTTTTCTAGAACTGCCTAGGCAGTTGAGTTTCTTTTAGCAATCTGAGATCGCTTATGATAGGCATCTGTTATGCAAAATATATTTCTTGATGTGACAAGGAGATTTTCATTATACTCAAACAAACATTTCTTGATACTTAAATGGACTCAAACGCGTGCCAAAAGCACAACAACAACAATAATTACAAATGGTAAGCAGCATTATCATTAAGGCTCGTCGTTACGCATTGCCAACCCCGCCCACTTGCAGATGGTCCGCGTGGGCCATATTTGTATATCAAGTGAAAGCTATTCACTTAATTTCCACATTTTGCTGTTGTTTGTTATTTTTAGCCAAAACTGTTGTGTTGCACATTTTTCACATGATTGTGTTAATCAGTTTTTAACTTATAGTATATTGTTTTTTTTTTTTTTTTGTGCTTTTTATTTTTCAATTTAGACTTTACACAGTGAAATAATGCGAATTTGGCTGCGAGCGCGACTTTTGACCGCTTTACATAATACAACAAGTCCCCCAATGGGAGGGCAGAGGCGTTGCTTTTGGAGCTCACAGAGCAAAAATTAAAATTATGCGAAAGTTAATTAGTCACTGTCCCCCATGTTCATATATTTATTATAACTAATAACTTTTATACTTTTATACTAGTCCAGCAGGTTGGGCGGGCTGTGGGCGGGCGTGTCTGTCTTTCGTGCTTGTTTTTATGTCATCATAAAGGCGTTAAACGGTTGCAGCCATAAAATTGCTATAACGTTCGGTTACAATGTAAACAATTTAAGGCTTTCACTCGAAATGAATTGCGTGCAAAAAGATCTGTTAACATGCAAAGCTTAAGCGGCGCTTAACATGCGGGTGAAAGAGCAGCATGACCGATGCTACCAATAACTTCTCTGCGAGCATAAGCAGAGCGTCATTTGGGCTGCTCTCAGTTCTCGCGAAAAACTGTCAAAGCTTCTGTGTGGGTAACATGTGGTTAACAGGGTAGCAGAAATCACAGCATCTAAATGTGTGAGAAAAGTCCAGAATCAGCTCTAGCCAGCTAACTGTCAAAGCTTCCGCTCCCGTATGCAGTCGCATGCACATTTTTGTTGTAAATAAAAAGCACAAACGGAAAGGCAAAGAAACGACGCAAACTTGCAAACGAAGCAATTTTAGCGGCGACGACGTTGCCGGCATACAGTTAATTAATTGTTGATACTTCCAAGCGCAAAAACTATGTGCGAATGTGTGTGCGTGTGCGTGCGTTTATTTGGCAAGCCGTCACACCTATTACAAGAAAGCTGTAATTATTAGCTTTTCTATGCGCCCAAGTGCTGCAAATGGTTTCCATTGAATATCTGCCAAGCAAATCACATAACTGTCATCAAGCAGGGCGTGCCATAATTGTTATCAAACAGTGCGACTACCAAAAGTAGCAGCGCAGCAGCAGCGCAGCGGCGTCGATCAAAGAAGATACAAGCAGCCACAAGCGCAGGTGCCAAATGCTGAGCAAGCGACGGAAAGAGAGAGAGAGAGAGAGAGAGCGAGAGAGAGCACTGGTGCAGCTATCAGAAACAGTTGCTAAGCTTTGACTTTGCTTATCCCTTTACGTTCACATGCTGCAAGCGCAATAGTTCTAATTAATTATGCAGCGCTTGTTGTTTGTGACGTCACATCGCTGTGCAGTAATAAAAATATAAAAACAAAAGTGAATTTTATTGATAGCCGCATATATTGAACGATTAATTTGATACGTTTTCATTTGAGCTGCGGATTTGGTTACAAATGGTTGCGTTAAGTGAAGCTGTTAAGTACCCTGAAGCCGTTCGCAGTTATCAAACAGTTTCTAGGCTTGTTAACATAACTATGTAAGCACGCTTAACAGTGCCAGAGCTGTACTTAACAGCAGCTTTTAATTTGCATTAAAACAAGCTATAAATTTAATTGTAAAAAATAAATGAAAAATATAAAAAACAAGCCCACTGAATTGCAACGCTTTGCGAAATGGCTAGTTAATTAATAAGTGCATATTCGTGTGTATAAATGTTTACACAAGTAGCTAGAGAGCACTTAAAATCTCCTGGCATTCTACTGTTAACTTTGTTAGCGAAAGCAGCGTCCGTTAATAAATTCAGGCATCGATTTGGCAATTAATTAATTTAATTAATATCAATTGGGAGCAACAACAAAAGGCGTTGAGTAAATAAAGCACAGTGCTCGGCTGCATGCATCAATATTTGTAGTTGATTCTGATTTTGTTTTCATTATTTCCATTTTAACACATTTCCACTTTCCAGACAGTAAATATATATTTAACTTGATGGTAAAAACAGGAGTTTGTCTTTTACGGTTAATTGCAATAGCAATTAAAACTGTTTCTGCGCATAAATAAAAATAAAAGCTGTTTACCGAATGATTGATTGAATGACTGACTAAATGAGAAATTTAAATAACAAACGAACGATGCGTGAAATTGTCAAAATGAGCGTTAAATTTAATGCAAGTCTCCTCTCAGAGCGCCAACAAATTCATGCAATTAATTTATAAATGAGTAAAGTATTTTAATATATAGCAGGTCTTTAAACATGACAGCAGGATTAATTGACAAAATTAATATCGCGCTGATTTAGTGGGGACAGGATAAGCTAGATATATGTATGTTAAATTTAATAATCCTTACATTCAATCCAATCTAGATTGCGTTTAGCCAATTAATATTTTGATAGCCTAATTTAATTATTAATCGAAAGGTGCAAAAAACTAAACGAAATATATTTAAGTCTAGGCTGCTAGCTGGTTCGAATCCGGAACTACAAACCAGACCCACCCCCAATTCTTTGTTGACTTAACATGAAAATCTATTCAAAAACCCTAAAGTCGAAATGCATTTGGTCCCAACACTTGGATTTATCTAGCCATATTTGGCAGATGCCAATTTTTTGGTTAGGGTTATAATCTAGCCCGTTTTTGCATATGAAAATATTTACGGCTTGCAATATTCTCAGTGCAACGGGCACATGTAAACTAAAATGTTATGTGCTCTTTCTCAAATATAACAAAATTGTTAACAAAATTTGAGCCAAAGGGAGAGCAGAATAGCTGCACAAACCGAGCCCGAAGGCAGGGAATAGGTTTGTGAACCGTGAAACTGATTTAAAGTGAACTTTAAGGACTTTTCATTTCTTTACCTAAACTCTGTTTATTTTTCCCTACCTATATTTTTCGCTAGTTAACTTTTCAAATAAACCTATACCCACAGGCAAATAAAAAAATCAAAGCATTTTTAAATACCAATTAGGCCATAACAAGTGTGTGTTCAGTATATCATTAGTTTACATCTAATGCGCTCTCAATTGCAACACATTTGGGTCTGCCACAAGTTGCACAATGAGCGGACGCTGCGAACGAGCCCCGGTACGGGCCTGGCCAAAACACCTTAACTAATGGCCCGCTATGGCCCGGCCAGCGACTAATGAGCGGGCGGCCAGCGCTGAGCTCTTTAAAAGGCAGCCAAGAACCCAGACAAAAACTAAGCAACAAAAAATATATAATAGGAAAAGAAAAACAACAAAGAAGTATTGCTAGTTGAAGTGGGGGCTACTTGAGATACTCGAGTTGGCGTTTGAATTTGAGTTTTCGAGGTTTTCTTTTGGCTTTGGCGCGCTCTGTTCTTGTTTTCGAGCATAGTTCGGGCTAACGAAAAAATTGTTTCAAAAAAACTGGCCCCGAAGCTGCTCAACAATTGCTGGCAACACGAAATGAAATATGACTGCAGAACAATCGACCAGAAAAAAAAATAACCAAATACTGCAAGTTGGCTTAAAGTTATTTTAAACTGGAGCACGTTGAGAGAATTCTGATTGGATACCTATTGCAGCCGCAGCCGCAGCCTCAGCAGCTGACCATGAAATGCGTTTCTGTATGATTTTCTCACCTGCAGTGAGAAAAAACGTTTCACTTTTGCTCGCTGCCAAAGTTGGCAAGCTGAGTAAAAACCGAAAGTTAACAGAACCGAGAATCGAGTGCACGTCAAGTTGGAACTGAGTGCGCAGCATCCAATAAGTAATTATGACCGGTTTTCAATTACATACGTGATTAATTTAATTCGAGCGCATTGCCTGTGGCCGATTCTCATTAAACGGGGCCAATTCCAATCAAAAAAAACTTAATAACAGAATAAAATGCTCGACTTGGAATGTTTTTGGAGAATATAGTTAAGAGTATTTCGACTTACCGCTTCGGATACGGTATGCGTCTATATTTGAAGGCGTTTTCCACATCGCGCAGCTTCATTTTGTAGGAACGGTCCGCGTTGAGAGACATTTTAGAAACGCGCGCGCACACACACACACACACGAAGTGAAATACGCGAGAGATCACAGCTTACACAGTTCTTGGATTGTTGAAAAGCTTTTCTAATTCTTTGCTTGCCACTGTCACAAGTTGCAGTTAAATGCTGTAAGCTTTTCGGTATAACTGTTAACTGACAGCCCGGCACTGCAGCGGGAGAGTGACGTGTGAAGCGCACAACGTTCGCGGCACAACTGAATGTTCCTGTGAGCGCTTGGCCGCCTTTTTGGCCAAGTCCAAGCGCTGATCAGCGCTCTGCGCTGCGACGTCAGCCGCGCCGTCAACGTCGGCGTCTGCGTTTGCGCCAAGCGCTAGTTACGTTTACCGTTTGTTGTTGTTTCGCCAGCTGCTTTTACCTTTTTCTTTTGCGCACTCATTCGATTTGAAGTCAGCTCGGCATCTCTTCAGCAAAGCCGCTCTCTTTTTCTCTTTGCCAAAGAGGGCCATAGTCCCAATAAATTGGACGCCACTGTGCGCCATTTGATGTCTGCATTTTGTTATTGTCACAATGTTTTAACGTTTTTTTTACTGCCTGTTGGCATCATAATCCACTTCTGGTCTATTTGGGTCGCTAATATTTAAACAAATTGCCAGCCCAGCATATGGCTATCAAAAAACTAGGAACACAACTACACAAACAGCTAACAGAAACAATTGATGTTTGTCAGTCTTTGAACAGTTGGTCTTTTTACCTCTTCTCGACTCGGTTAAGTAGCATGCATTTTTCTACAACATTAGCATTTGACGGCTTCAAATTCCTTTCTACTTATATCTATCTTTCTTTTGGAACTATACGGAAACTGGTTTGCCTTTGAACCGCCCAATGGAAAAGAACTTGACCTTTCCGGCCAACGATTAGCATTTATTTCTGAGATACCCGTCTTTAAACTTCTTCTTTGCTGTAGAAATATATATTCACTCTGCGCAAAATTTGTTAAGCAAGAATATGAAATTTCAGTAGAAATTAATTATATTTACATTTTCAGTCTCGCACTTGTGGCCTATGGAGCTCATTGACCCTAAAACGCCTTTGGTCATTTGCAGAACAGTGAGTCCAATAAAACTGTGTACTGACACTTATATCGATTCCTAATTATCGGAATACCGATACCATACCATACCCAGACATGAATTGTAATATATAAATAAATGAACTTACCCCGAAAATTAATATACACGCAAGATTGTTTAATATCCACAAATAATACGAAAAAAAATTTTATATTCACTTAACTGAAAAAAGAAAGAAAAAGCGAAATGTTATTTTTGTAATATATGTAATAATATATAGTTTTGTAATACATATGAAATGATATAAATATAAATATATATATACAAATAACCACAACAACATAAGTATTTGAATTCAAAAAATATTATTAGATTGCAAGCACTTATGAAAATAAATAAAATTACACTTTTAATTAAACTTGAAAACTGGTTAGGCTTACTTGAATTTATGAGAATCACGTAGTAGCGCAACATTTAAAATGTTTTCTTCTTAAAGTTGCTGAGCAGCAGTTTGTAAGAAAGTTTTAAACATATCATTTCCAATCGACACACTTTTTTTGCAATTTCAGTGTATATATATTCCGAAATTCCCACCACCTAAGTGTGCATACTTTTTTGCAGCACTGTTCAGTTACGGTTTGCTCAATTTTCGGACTGGCGTCTGACGGCTGTTGGTCAAAAATAAAGCGTTTACACATTTCCATGTGCTGGGCTTTTCGAATTACTTATAATTATTTATTGGTTTTTTACGAAGTCGAATAGCAAAAAACTGATTGTTTATACTTTTTGCAACAAGCTGAAAATTCATGTAAATTTCTTGATAAAAAACCAAAAAACGCAAAGTCAAGCAAAGTATAAAAAAAGGCACTTTAACAGACAAGATTAAAAATATTCAAAAGGTGGCGGCTTGTGCCGTCGTTTTGTTTACGTTAATGACAATTGGTAGCTGTCACAATTAACGGCCAGGTGAGAGATAGAAAAGAAGAGTGAAAGGGAAAGGGAGGGAGAGTATGCCAGAGTGGGAGGAGGTGCATTACATAAAACCCAATTGCAGACAGCCTCAATTGAAATCCGATATGCAATCGTGAATCAATAATGAAATTGTTCAAGAAATATCTGCATACCTGTCATCGGATTGCAAGGCTTAAAAATGCATGCAAGTAGAAAAATGAATTTGATTTGTCATATTTTCCACACAAATAACCACCAGTATAATGATGATCATCATAATGTTGATCATTTATGAGAAGCTCTGGACATTTTGTGTTTTGTATTTATTCGGCTGGAGCACACCTTGTACTAAGAGAGAAAGACCAAGCGAGCAGTTGTTCAAAACTGTCGTCAATCTGTCAGTTTATCAGTTGCAATTGCAACGGCAATAAGTTTTTACCTGGCTGCAGTTGTTGTTGTTTATGTTGTTGTTGTAGGTGTTGTTCCTGGCGTAGCAATTGTGCTGAACTGGCAATTGTAAACAACTTCAATTGGCCCTCGGCGCAAATACAAATATACAAGTACATTTGCGCATGTTTGTGGACTCAGCAACTGCTGCGAGGTGTGCTCAAGGAGTTTTTGGCTGCTAGATTTTTGAATACTTTTATTTTGAAAATGCAATTTTGCTTGTCTTAAAACTAAATTCAATGAAATTGTGAAAGTAAACTTAAAATAGAAGAATTTAGCGCACACACATTTTAGTTATATGATACTCTATTCTTAGAGACACAAGAAGTATAATCGCTTGAATAGTGTTATCTATTTGATGTTATCTGTTTTATGGCCAGTTAACTTTTGTCAGATATCATATTGAGTATTTTTTAAAATAATATTCCCACAATATAAAGTATTTTATATATTGTTAAAAACCCGGCGCATTTATATAAATAAAGAAGCACATAGGACAATAACGAACTTAAAAGCCGTTTAATAAATCAATTAATCTATTTTTAATTAATTTATTTGACAGCATGAGAATTTTACCATCAGTTACTAGCCGAAGGAATTAGTAGCCAGTACATTAATTAAGTTTTAACCATATGTAGGCTAGATGGATAGAATAAAAAATCAACAACATGAATTTCAGTGTCAACTCTCGCTACATTGTTTTTAGTCTTGTTTTTTTTTTTTAGCAGGTCTTGCAGTTAGGCTTATCAACGCTATTTTGCCTAGTCTGGTGTTGGTCAGGTCCCAAAACAGAGTGGAGTTTAGTCAGCTGGCGGCAATAAACAGCGCCACAGTTGAGCACACAGCCAGGCTGGTGACAACTACAGCAACAGCAAGAACAGGGCATAGAACCGGCGGCTGTTGGTGGCTTATATGCTATGCGGGTCAAACAACCCAGGCCCAGCCGGGTGCCCACAGTGGCAACAAACTGGCCCGCCTCGAGCCTTGGCAGGTGCCTTAACTTTAACACCGGCTATTGGTCAGTCCAAACACAGGATGTGGGGCAATCAGCGCCATGTTGGGGCCGGCAGCTGTGCAGAATGTAGTTAACCCGATTTTGAATGAAACAAGCGGATTGTATTTTTAAAATTCTTGTTTAAGTTGTTTTTGTTGTTTTTAATTGTCTTGTTTTAAATACTCGTTTCATCTATTTGATTCAGTGCGTCATCATTATAAGTTTTCTTTCTTGTTCATACTATATAATACTATTTATATTTGATTTTTTGTTGTTGTTGTTTTTTTTTTTTGTTTGTTTATATATTTATAAATATTTCATTTTGTTTATCATACAAGTGAAATTTACGTCGTACAATTGAAAACATAATGCACAATTCATGAGCAATCCCAAAGTGGAAAAAAAACCTTTTTAAAAATTTGACAGTTTTTCTCTGGTTGTCTTCGAAGTTTCATTTTGTGGATTTTTCAATCTTTCATTCTTCAACATGCGTTGACTATTTACACAGCTGCTGTATTTATTTATTTCTTTATTATCTACCAGCGTCACCTGCCGCACATTTCATTACTTGAAATTTGGTTTTTGTTTGGGCTTCGAATAAATTACATGCAATGTTTTATGTGCTGGCATAATTCAATTTCTTGAACGTTTTTTGTTTACGGAATGGAATGTACTTTAAACACAGTTGGCACAAAAATTTTTCCATAGTTTGTTGTCATGTGTGTGAAGGAACTGAACCGAAACGACGTGAACGTGACTTTTACTGTGACTGTGTGCCTGTGACTCTGTGACTTTGTGATTGCAATTGTGACCGAAAACGTTGTAACCTTATTTAAAGCTACCTCTTGAATGCTCTGTCACCTTTCCTATATATATATATATATATATATATATATTTTTTTTTTAATTTCTGTCTGTGAACAGAAATTTGAATTTGGCCTATGCACCAATTGTTTTTAATTGATTTTCGGTATTATTTTTTTTTTCGTTTTATGCTTATACATATGTAAATATGCCATGTTGTGGATTTAGTTATTGTTTATTATTATTTTTGTGTGGCAAAATAATAACAATAGTTTCATAAAATTGTACAAAGTGCGCGTTTTGGCTATTAATACATATAATGGTTTATATGTTGTCAAAAATGAAACTAAAACACCTTTGACATTATTTGTTATTCGTTTTTCGCCTTTTTACAAGTTTCTATTTGCTTTCCTTGTATAAAGGTGAAACTTTAATGGATTTTATTGATCTTTGCTATGGGAATTCTAGCTGCGCGTTTCTATAAATTTCCTGCTGGCAAATGCTGGCTTTTGGTATTTTCTTACAATTTATATATATATATTTATATGTTAAGTGCATTTAAAATAAAGTATATTTGTCTTATGCATACATTTAAATGAGTTTCTCATTTCGCTTATGTTTTCTATTGGAAAAACTGCCAAAAATTCATTGTAATTATGGGGCTATGTCTTAGAATCTAGTGCTGCATACAATTGGCATAAATTACTCTAGATTCGTATCATACTCTATATCTGTGTGTTGTGTGTTTTTACAAATTGTTTTATGTTAAATGCTATTTATTTATAATATCATTAGGAAATTGTTTTTATGTATTTTATTTATTTTTATTTTTTTTTTTTGTTGTCTCAAGTGGTTTGGAGACCTCAGTGCATATTGAGTGAAATAAAATAGGTCTTAAAAATATCGATTCTTCAAAAGTGGCAAAACTAAGTTAAATAATATAAAAAATATATATATTAACATATTTGCAGCACACATAAACACATTAAAATGCAATTCAATAGATTTGAATATTTGAAGATTTGAAGACATTTTATGGCAGTTTCTTGTGATAATCGTGTAAACATTTGTTGTTGTTGTTGTTATTGTTGAATGTTTGGTTAACACCGTTCTAATTATTTATTAATTGAATTAATTTATAACAATTAAACCACTATGTGATGTTGTTCAATTGGTGTTACTATGTGTGTGCGCGGGTGTGTGTGTGAGTGTGCTGTGCTGTGCTAAAAAACCCACGTGCTGCTTTCTTTTCATAGACTAAGCCTACGCCTATGCCTATGCATACTCATAATATCGTATGATAACTGCCTCAACTGTTGAATTGAATGCATTAGTTGCTTAGTTTATAGTTTAGTTAAATATAGTTCAGTATGTGCATGCCATGGATCACAACACTGTCGAGATTTTTCACTTGCCCCTCCCTTCAAATGCAGCTAACAGTTATATAATCGTAACTATGCCTAACTTTCAATACTCTTACGCAGCAATGTTGCATATTCTTTAAGTTTTCTAGAGTTTTGCTCTGACTTTTATACAATTTAATTGTAATTTCTGATCTTTTTGCATTTTGTTGCTAATTTTAACTAATTTGGTTTTTTCCTCTTCTGTGTGCTATGTGCGCTATGCTTAATGCGTCAATGGCTTCTTTTAAGTACTGTCCTAACCATATTTAAGGTACCTAACTTACAGTAGTTTTTGCTTTTCAGCTGCAGCTTAAATGAGAAATAAAAAACCAGGTCATATAAGACAATGATCTAGTATATATATACCATATAATAAAGCCAATTTCTGACCTTAAAATATCAATGCAGTTTGTTAAATTTAAATGTGGTGTTGTATAAGAATAAATCAATATATTAGAAGTAATGAAAAAAGGCAAATTCAAAAAAATTAATAGCAGAATTTTAAAAGAAATTGTCAATTAAAGAAACTACATTTTCCTTAATAAAAGAGAGTATTCCTTTTCTAAACCATAAACATTTTAAATGAATTATTTGATGCAAACAAACAACTTAAGCAAAATAAATCAAATTGTCATTATTTGAAGGTTATAATTTAAATATTTGGATCTCTGAATAAAGATTTTTCTAGCTTAAAAGCAATTTTCAAACGCAATTTTAAGTTCTATAATAGTAAATAATATTTAATGGTTCTACAATAATCGAAAATACAATATAACTAAAAAAAACTGCTCTTCTTTTAGTTTTTTCGAATACTTATATACAGAACTTGCCAGGCAGTGAAGATCGACTAAATTAAAGGTGTTTTTAGCTAAGAACCCAATGCTATACACATAGCTACTCGTATTTATAATCTTATGCTTATGTCTATACACCCACACCCACACCCACATCCACACACACACACTCCCTCTCCCTCTCGTGTTTTACATTATTTTTTGTTTTACTTTTTTTCTTTGAAGCGCTTAGAAAAGTTACGAACTTACAATTTAGCTTTAGTTCTCTTTCTCCCTGTTTGGCTCAATTTAAATCCCTTTTGCACTAACTCATCCGTACTTTAAAACCTCCATGCCAGATCCTGTACCGGGCCAACAATAATCTCCAGTTGCTCTACCTGCAGCATCTGCTCACGCTCACGCTTCAAATTCAGATCCCGCTCCCGCTCCTGATCCCGCTCCTGTTCCTGTTTCTGCTCCGGTCAGGCAATGCTCAGGCCTTGCTCAATTTGCTCGTACAAGCCATAGCCGGCGGCAACATATCACACGGTGGTTTCTCGATCCACATGTATGTACTCCACCGGCTGTAGTGGATGTCAGGACGCCGGATCAATGTAGAGCGCCTCCTTCTGGAAGTCCTTCTTCAGAGTGCCAATGCTGCAGGGCGCTGGCACATTGCCATTGCCATTGGCACCGTTCATGAATCCACCGCTTTTCTGCACCACCGACTTTTTTCGCTTGCGCATCAGCCCAAACATGCAGAATATGAGGCAGGCGGTCAACGCTGCGGCAATGCAACCCAATGCCGCAAATACGCCGCCGGGCAGCTCGAGCAGCTTCCGAGCTGTGCCGCACTCCTCCTCGGACTCATCGAAGCCGCTGGGACAGTTGTGATGACCTGCAAAGCAGATACGAGCGAATGATTGAAAAGAAATCTGTGGTCAGGTTACAGGTTCGCCTCGCTGGTTGCCAAATTGAAAGACCCGCCGCCGTCGGCTAGTGTCACTTGAGTGCTCCCTGGTTGGTTGGGGTTAGGGCTGGGTTTGAGACTCGGATTGGGTTGCCTTGGTTGGTTGCCTTATCCGGCCTGGTTGCTGGTCTGCTTGGTTAGCTTGTTTAATGCACGCTGCCTTTTTGGTTAAGCAGCTCAGTTGCAGACGCGCCTGGCTGCCCATAAATAATTGAAGCTAAAAGGCGAGTCCCGCTCCCTGCAGCTGCAGCCAGCAACTTGGTGGCAGCTGTTGCGGACTGCAACTGCCAGACGGACAAACTTTTGTGAAAGATATTTTCGGGCGTTCTTTGGTGGACATAGCCCGCAGCAGAAGCAGCAGCAGCAGCAGCTTTGTGCAGTTGTCAGGAAACTTTGCCTGATTACAAAAACGTGGCCAGCAGCTTGCAATGAAATTAACACAGAAGCAACCACAAGTGAAATTTCTGTTGCCTATTCACAGGCGTTGGGCTGTTGGACAGCAAATGCAACAGCAACAGCAACAGCAATGGCAATCGCAACCAGCTCCAAATCACGTACACGTAATGCAAACTTATGTCTTCGCGAGGGTTGGTCAAAAAGTTTGCCAATTATATTGGTTCAAAAACTTAACAAAAACAGAAGAAAACTTATAATTGTAACTTGGCCAATTGCAGACTACAAACTGGCCAGAACGCATACCCTTGCAGAGGGTTGTATAAACTTATAATGCACAGCAGAAGTCGCCTCCGAAGCTGTTAATTAATCGATTTGGTCTTGTGGAACTGCACAATAGGTTCATATATTGATTACAGGCGTTACTTATGTAAGGCAGAATCAGCCGAACCGGAGCACTGTATCATATAGTTCACATAAGAACGATTAGTTTAAAATTGGATTCTTTAAAAACCCTTCTCATTATTGATTTATTATCCTAATCATACTTAGCTAAGCATATTCGCAAAATCTTATCAACATTGGAGCGCCATATCATATATAAAGCTGCTATAGTTTTATAAGTATGAAACTTTGTGGTTTTTTGTTAAACTTATTTTTTCATGATATAAGCGCAAAATCTTTACAATATTTATTCATCATAAAGCTGCCATACGGTTTGTGGCATAGGAATTTGTAGCACTTTGAAGATGTCTTAATCAAGCTCAGCAATGCTTTTGGCATATAAGTAAGATCTTATCAAAATAAAGTACTCGAGTTTTGCTATGAAAACTCTATTAAGCTACGTATATTTCTGCAAGCGTATTGAGACTTCGGCGGGGCCGAAGTTTATTTTATTTATAGTTAAAAATAAAGTAAAAATATGGAACATTTTTTAAAAATATATGTTAAAAGGAATTTCGTGGGCAATTAAAATAAAAATTAAAATTTTCTACATACGATTTTCACGAGCCTTTTCACTTTTCGAACAACCCATGCGTTGCTTTCCCCAACTGGCAATCTCTACTCACCATCACACCACAGACTGGCCGCTATGCATGCATCAATTTCGGGGCATTTGTACTCGCAATCCGACTCCTTGGGATAGAAACCAAATTCGTTCAGCGTTTCGTTGGCCGTTGCGCTGGGCGCAACGCCTCCGGCGCCAGCCACGCCGGCGCTGCCAGTGCCCACAACTGCACCGCCAGCACCACCTGCTGCACCACCGCTGGGTGGGACACCCAAGCCCGTGGTTACGCTTGCGTTCACATGCAGGTCCAATTGCTGCAGCAGCGCATTCTTAGTGCGATGTATCTCCAGCCATGTGAAGGCTATGTCACCGGGCTCCTTAAGGATGGGCTCCAGCACCAAACTGATGGGCCTGCAAGGAATAAACGGAATGTAAGTGCGTGCGTGTGTGTGTGTAAAGTTGTAAACATTTTCGGCTTGTCTGTCTACGTCCCGTGCCCATATCCTCGCCCTGCGGCTGTCATGCAGCTGCTCGCCATGCTCCACATAACTTTGAGGCAAGTTTTGGGCAAAGTAAGGAATACCCCACTCAGATATCTCTTTGGGTCTTTCGCTGCCAGTTGCTCAAGTGCAACTAATTACGCGCAACTCTCAAGTTGCCATAGAGAAAATACTCGTTTATTATTCACTACGCTTCGACTGCATTTGGAATAAGTCAGGACTACGGTGCAGAATGCGTGCGCAAAGGCGCAGCCGATGATTTTGCCATTAACATTATAGCATTTAGTGGAGTCTTAATGCTTTCAAGTGCAAAATAAAGCCAAAGCTGCAATAATATTAAAATTGAGTGCCTTAAGTGGGAAGTAAATTGGGGTTTCAAAGCATCAGCAAAGTTTCGTGCACATAATTTTAGGGCAGACATCAATAAATTGCAACCTGCATTTGTGCTGACATATTATGAATTATTATTATTTTGAATAATTCATTTCTAATGTCATTTAGAATAACATTCGAGTTTATTCTCTTGTTGCATTTGGTGAGGAAAACTAAATATTTCTGCTTATTAGAACATTTAGACTTGCTGTTAGAACTATTAGTACTCTGCTTAGGGTTTTAGCTAAGTTCTCAGGTTGACAAACATGTTCACAAGCATAATTAAAACTAAATAATTTTGTATTTGAGCCAGTTTTGTGGCTGTATTGGAAGATACTTTATGCCGTGTATCACCAAACTTTAATTTCTGCGCTGGATTTGGCTGCCAAATATGTGTTTAATTGACGCGCAAAACAATCCGATCGCAATTGCAGCTCTATGTAAAATCCCTGTCTGCCGTTTGAAACCATAAAATATATCACTCTGGCATTTTATATATTGCAGGAAATTATTTCGACCATCTGCCGAGCCACTTTAAACGCAAATGTTTTTTAATGAGATGCGCATGTGAGCTTTGCTCGTTCGTGCATAAATTCCAAACAAAATATAAATAACATTTTAGTAGCTCCAATTCAAAAAGCCTCTCAATTTAAGTTTTTAGTTTCTATTTTTTTCCCCCACAAACTAATTGGAATTTAACAACTGCTCGTATTTCTAACGTTTCTGCCAGCTCACAATTTGTATGACCCTCCGATGCTCGAACTCCGGGTATTTGGAAGCTCTTATGAGCTCCATCAAAAACAAAAAAAAAAAAAAAACAGGCTGCTTAAAAATGCAATAACAGGAAATGGCTACAGCGGCAACAAAACACAGGAAATTGAGCACAAAGAAGGAAAAAAAGCCATTGAGGCGAACAAACATGGCCGACAGACACACAGACACACAAACACACAGAGACTATGTTGAAAGGCATGCAAAAATATCCATTTGGGTTGAGCGGAGAATACAGAGCCAGAGCAGCTATATGTGTAGAGTTGTGTGCTCCGGCAATTTATGTTCAAGGTGCGTGCCACCAGAATGAACTCCGCTTTGGTCAGTTTTGTGCGGCTGCTGCTGTTGCTGCTGCAAACGTGTTGCCATTCAATTTTATGTGCAAGTGCAGCTCAAATTTGTCGCCCAAAATACAAAAAAAAAAGAGGACAAAACGAAGAAAAACATATAAAACACACACATGGCCATGTGGAAACATATTTTTATGACACCCCAAAGGGTAATTGACAGTGTCCCGCCTGCTCTGGCCAGACAGTGTCAACTAATGAGCGTGTCGAGCCTTTTAGATAATTAATCGAGTGCTTTGCAACTCACTGAGTAAAAGCCACAGTGATATCCGCTGAAGCTGGCAACAGAATAATGCAATGAGAAGCCATTGTCCGAGCGAAAAGCGGAAACAAACAGGGAATAAAACAGGCCTTGGAAAGCACACAGTAGCTTTAAGCGTACAGCTGAAAGCTTTATGGGAAGATTAATGTTTAAAGTGTAATTTCTTGCACTAATATTGAGCTTTTGTTCGAAGTTGCTTAAATTGTATTGATCGATAAAAGCTTATAAGAGCAGAATACTGCTGAAAGCAAGATACAAGTCTGATTTATTGCTTTAAGCAGGATTAAATTAATAAAGCACACAAAAGCTTTATGCTGATAGAAGCTAAAAGTTTTTTTTTGTACTAAGCGTTGAAAGTGTCTTCTCGTTTTAAAGTAACTTTTGTATTGGATTGAAAGCATATAGGGCTGAACGCTAAATAGTAAGATTCTAGCTTAGTGTGATTTACAGTTGTGCTTATTAAAAACATTCGTTGGCTTAACAGCAAGACAAAAGTTTAAAGTTTAATTTGGCTTGAAGTGAAATTAATTGTTTATTTCATTTCCTTTTAGTCATTCTGTTGTATTATAGCTATAGCTTAGAGCTCCAAATAAATTGGACTATATGCCATATATGCTTTCTAACCTTTTTTGTCTGTTCTGTACGCGAATAATTCAATAATATAATACATACTTGAGCATTCAGCCGATTTCATTGGTATTCTGCGCACTCTACTTACTTGTTCATAAACAAAGGCTGTCCATTGGTCCAGTCCTCGGAGAATATGTGCAGGGATGTTGGCCTGGGACCACTCTGCGCTGGACAAACCACACGCATGGGCTTCAGCGGCCTGCCGGAGTAGACCATCAGTCGATTCTTGGTGTGACAGCGCATGGCATCCTCGGAGGTGGGATCGACGGGCAGATAGGCGCCCCAGGTTTGCACGAATAGCGAACGTTCTGGCGATTGGGCCTCTATGTACCAGGCCAGGCCCTCGCAGCTGGCGTCCTGTGTCTTGAGCGGATACTTAAGCTCATCCTCACCGCCAGCGCCCTTCAGTTTCAGCTGTTTGCGGCAATCGGCCTGCCGCTTAAACTCATACGAGGCTGAGAAGAAAACATCGGCAAAGTCCTCGGAAATGTTGAGTCTGGTCACCGTAAAGGTCAGTTCCATAATACGCGAATGCGAGACAAAGGTCAACGGCGCATTGCTGTACAGAGCGCTGGAGTTGTCACAGAAGCAGCCCAATTGGATTTTCACATCTCGGAACGGTACATCGTACAGGCGCAGCTCGGTGATGCGACCCTCGGGATCCAGTTGATTGCACCGCGGTCTGCCCGTGTGCAGATCCGAGTCGGTGGTGCAGGCGGTTCCCTCGCCGAACGATACATTATGGAGCACCAGCTTGACGCGCTCCGAGGTGCCCGCCTCAAAGCGATACAGGCAGGTGATGTTCTTGGCGCCGCCCCTGCCATAGAGGAACACATTCCTGGGCACCTGGATGTTGCCCTTGCGTTTGCGAAAGACACGCGAACAAAGCGGAGGCACTGGATCCTCGCCACGCCTACCCGGCCATGTTTCACCGCCCTGTTCTGTGTCCACGAACTCGTAGTTCAGTGCAAATTGAGCAGGAAACAGGGCGGTGCCCGTGTGCGTGTGGAATTCCAGTTTCTGCAAATAGCATAGCAAAAATGGCCTTAAATTAGTGTGCGAAACGTACACTGAGCAAAAAGAGAACAAAAAAAAATAAAAATGGTTAGCAGGGAAAATCTCCAAAAACTCGAGAGCAAAGAACTGCAAAATTGTGTTGACTAACAATATGATGACCCGAATTGCTGATTTCTTCATTTTGGAATGCTTGTTGGTTCCTTCGGTTTTCTCTCAGTGTAGCAGGCACAGCTTCAATTTGGCGTCAAAATATTTGCAGTTCATATTTGCGACATTCAAAAAGGCTAAGCAAGCTTATTGCGGTACCCTCTATTTGCGAGGCCCGCAGCTAGTACGCAGTACCTAGCGCCCAGCTCCCCCTCGCAGTGCCCCAGCCCCTCCCACTGCCAGTAACATCTCGCCAAAGTCAGGCTTGTGTGTGCTTTGGCGTATTTGAATTTTGCCAGCAGGCAAAGAAGTCGCCGTGGGTGACTCTCCAGCCTGGCTGGATTCGTTGGCTTCGTTGGCTCCGTTTGCCGTTTGCCGCTTGCCGCTTGTCGTTATTTGTGCACGTCTGGCGATGCACTCGAGTGTTTAATTTGATTAATTTTGTCAAGTTTTAAGCAAATACAAATTTGCACTGTGCCAAATTTGTTGGCTTGCTTTGCTGCAAGGTAATTGTTGAGGGAGCCAAATTGAGCACTCCTCTGCAAGCACTGCGACCAGGTGCAGCAGACTAGCAAAAAAAAACAACAAATTAAATAAATATAAACTCGAGGCTTTTGTTAAATTCAACGAATTGTACTTTTTTACTGTCATGTAAACAATGAAATTTCCAAGCCAATGCCCAAAAGCAGGCAACATTTCTTTAAATTCTCATTTGTCTGCAAACACGAGTGTTGCACACTTTTAAGGTGGAAAAAAGTTAAAGCTGTATATATGAAAATCTGAACTGTCTTTAAGGACAGCTGGAGAACTTGTTCCGGCTATACTTAACATATGATATTAATATTAATAAAATAATATAATAATATTTAAAGATATACTTGAAATAACACCATATAAAGATCAGAAGTCAATTCCTTTGTATAGGATGTTCATTAAAATATACTTCCGAGACGATACATCACACTGAAGGAATCCAGGTTCTAGATTAATCCCACCCACAATCAACACATGTATTCAATATTTATACATATATACCTTTCATTTGAAATTTTCTTCCTTTTATTTGACTTACCAAATCTCTGCCGGTGCTCACATAGCTTTCCAGTGGGCTGCATGGCCGCTGCTTGTTGCCACCCATTAGAGCGCTGCTGCCGCTGACTCCGCTGCCGATGGCCGTGTGATCGCACAGTTTGGGCGTCTCGTAGTCGTATATCTCCAGCATGAGACGTCGCTTGCCTTTGGTGCTCATTAGGGAGACAGCGCTTTGGCTATTCTTATCCGAGCTCAAGACAGCTGCTGCCGAAGCTCCACTGCCGTCGCGGCCGGACTTACCACCTGATAAATAGTTGAGGCTGTCCTTTATGCCGCCCAGTTGTTTGCCCGCAGAGGCAGCTCCGCCGGCAGATGCTGCGCCGCCAGCACCGCCCTGATAGCCACTATACTTGTTCTCCTGATTGAACACACTCGACTGTGTGGGCCCGTAGATGTAGGTATCCACTGGATTCCAGGCATTGTCAATGTTTACGCGCAAATTGCGATTCAGTTTTGGATTGCTGGCGCTGTAGTAATAGCTGCCATAGTTGCTTTGATTCAACAACGTGGGTTTGCCCCCATCCGCCGAGGATGCCACCGGCGGCGGTGGCGGCGGCTGTCCTGTGGTCACGCTGGTCGACTTAATTGGCATATATGTGCCGTAACTGTCCCACATACGCAGACGAGTTATCCAAGGCGGCAAATCGCTCTGCAAAGGATACAGCAAAAAAAAAAAAAATAACAAATGTTATTGATTAACTTTACAGGTGTACAGAGCTCTCAGACGCGGAAGACAATCAATGTGTTTAGATTCAATTATTCAGATGATAATCTAAAGAACTCCAGATTCATAAGAGAATTATGAATATTACAGCTTGTAATAAATTAATGCAATTTTACAGCTGTAAATCAACAGAACTCTCTAGATAGAAAGCATACACCAAATGGACCATTTAAATTTACAGCTGCTAATTAGATCCCTAGATGCAGAACATACACCAATTGTAAATGTTTGATTTGTCAAATGTTACTAAAGAAAACTCGTCATTTAATTTAATAAATTTAACACGGAAGATACTTCAAATGTTTAAATTCAATTTTGCAGCTGTTCATCAAAAGAACTCTTCAGATAGGGTAGCTGCGTCAAATGTTATTTTTTAATTTTACAGCTGTTAATCAACAGAGCTCTTCCCCACAGTAAATTCTAATCCTCCTATGCTCATACGTTTTACTCCTTACCAAGCATCCACATCTGCTAACGAGCTTTTCTCTTTGTCTTAACGCATTTTTTTTAAGCTTTTCGCTCTCACTCCCTCTTCCACTCTCTCTCTCTCTCTCTCTCTCTCTTTTAAGTTCTCCCTGCCTCTCCGCTTTGTTGCTGTTAGTTTTTGCCTGTTTATCTTGTTGTCGGCCAGCTCGCATTCCGTTAGTGGCAACAATTCGTTGCCCCTTTAACCCCTCCTCCATCATTCAGCATGTTTGTCATATGTCACATATTCAAACAGCGGCAGTGAGAGTCAGTGGCAAGTGTGAGTTATTTGTCTTTTCACGTTTTGTCACTGCTGTTGTCATGTTTTCATGTTGTTTTTGTGCCTCTTCTGCTTCTACTTCTGTTGCTTCGTCTGCTTCTTCATCATCTCCAGCAGGCTGTTTGCAGGCATTAAATATTTTCACTAGACGCCTGCTGGAAATGTTTTCCTTTTCGTGTCTAGGCAGTGATTATTGTTGACTGTGTTAATAATGAAAAGACAGTTACAAACAGCTGTGGCTTCTATGAAGCACAACAAAATCAGATGGAGCGCGGGAGGACTGGTTGGGGCATTAGCTTTGTAGAATAAGACGCCTTAAACTGATTGGCTTCAGGTTATGTTCCTTTTCAGATTACATTTCTATTTTAAATTTACTTTTCCTAGTTAGCTCAGATAATACGTTTTTTTTTACTTTTTTTTTTTATTATTTACTATTTCAGGCAAATATTATGAATATTTTTAAAGTATTCTTTATTTATTTGTATTATACATTTCTTTATTTCTTTTCTCAGCTCAGATAAATAGTTTTTTATATATTCCTTCATTCTGGTAGACTTATTCTTTTCGGTTTTGTTTATATTTACAATTTCGTGCATATATGCAAACTATGAAAGATATGTAATTGTGTTCTCCACATAAAGTTGATTCGATTACTTCCTAATTTGATTTTATTTGATTGTCGTTTTCTTATATTTTTAAGTTTTCCCATCATTTTATGCGCTCTTCTTATTTTCATAATTTACCGTGCATTTATTGAAAGCCCTTAAGCTTTGTGACTTCCCTAGTCTTCATTTTTATGAAAGAATTTTAAAGTTTGCCGACCCTCAACCACATGGCAGTTTCAAGCCAAACTTGTAAAGCTGCTAAGTGCCTTCAAATTGGCGTTCCTGTACGCCAAAGTCCTGCCCCGATTCCCGCTCCTGGTTTCTTTGTCGGTTCGTTTTTCCTGTGCGCACGTGGAATTTGCCTCACTTACATACAGTCGTGCGAAAGGAGGAGAATGGAAGTTTTGCGGAAGGGTGCCCGCCAAATGTCACCACTTGAATGTGGTTCTCATAAATGTCGCGGTATTATATCAGGCCCTCTTTTTTATATATATATTTTTTTAGAATTGTTCTGCAATCTCCCAATTTTGTAGCGCTCTTCTCTTTTTATCTTTGTCTAATCGCTGTCTGCCTCTCTTTCTCTACCTGTCTCTTTCTGCCCCATATGTTTTTTGCTTGGTGTTTTAACTTTGCTTCTTAATTTAAAAAGTTTTCTAGGAATTTTTTATTTGTTGTTTTCTTTTTTTTTTTTGCAAATTCTCTTCAATTTCGCATCAGCCCACGTACGAACTGTTTCCACCCCCCTCGCCCTTTCCCCTTGCCTGTCTTATGCTCCAAGTGTTGATTGTCGTTGTTATTGTTGTTGTAGCTGTTATACCTGCTGTTTGTTTTTGTCGCTTTTGTTGCTGTTACAAAATTCATGAACTGTTTTTGCTGCTGCCGCTGCCACTGCTGTTGCCCCTGTTTTATTTTACACATATTTTTGTTCTGTCACTTTTTATTGTGCCACTGGCCGAGTGAGTGGGTAGGTGGGGAAATTATGGAACGAGGGAGAGAGCGCGTGTGATGGAGCAAGTTACTCTTGCAGTTGTTTTTACGCTGATGGCAGCTTTTCATTTTTTACAATTTAAAGTGTAGGTGAGGCTACTGCAATTGACACGGACACTGCATCCAGCAGCGACTAAAACAAGGATGCGAGCAATTGTTGTCGCCAATTTTTGAAGAGGAAGTGGGCGAGTTCCTGGAATCCATTTTTTGCTGTCTTCTTCTTTTGCTGTACAAGGACGCAGAGCTTAACGAACAGCTGATGAGCTCTCATTTTTTTTTCAGGTGTCTCTGCATTGGGATTTTCCAAATTAATTGGCACTAAGTTCAAGTCCTAACAATTTCTCAAGTGCTTTGAAAAGTCTGTTACCAAAATAAATTAGATGCTGCCTCTTTTGGTGTCTAGACAGAAGAAAGAAGAAGAAAACCCGAAAAAGTTTTGTATCTTGGAACAATTTACGTGTCGAGACACACGGAAAAATTCTACTCTATATGCACTGACAATTTTCTCACATATGACAAGACGAGGCAAAGAGCTCATTTAAAGAGACTACTTTGAGATAATCCTTTACATGCTAAATTAGAATAAGTCATGGTGCTGTTAATAACATGTTAATTTGCTAAACATCAATGTTAGCTGGACATGTAAAGCTGTTCTCTTATGCAACTGAAACTCGCCCACAGTTTACTTAATGCTGTCACGCACCGACAAATGTTAACCAAATGACGCGCTGTTATTTACGGATAAGACTTTAGCATTTGGCCTAAAAAACCGGTTACTCGTTTATCGCTGACACTTTGACCCACTCACCCTTCCGACTACTCCATCACTGGCCTTTCATACTTCACCCAGCTGCCCGCCTGCAACCAGCTGTTATATATGCGAATAGTTTTTACTTGCAGTTACAGCTACCTTGACACAATTTACAGGCCGTTAGACAGCCAACAAAGCACATTAAAAATGTGCTCAACACCCGCGTGACAGAAGGTGTTGCCTTTGTCTTTGTTGCTGAGTTTGTTGTTGTTTTTGCCACTACTCGCCATAGTAGTTGCATTGTAGTTGGTGTTGTTGTAGTTGTTGTGTGCATCGCATTTTGACGCAGTTTCATTTACCCTCAGGGTTGACTTTAGAATTTAGACTTGAAACGAATGTCGAAATCCCTTGGCCATACTCCCCATCATTACATATCTGGAGCCTTTACTTTATTATAAACTATGTGTGTGTACGTTATTTGCTTTTGTTACTAGCTTTTTACTCACACATTTTAATTGGGTAAGAAGACAAAGTGTCGCTCGACTGGCACTAATAGCATATATAGAAATCAAGACAATAGCCAAGAGAATCCGCCACTGGCATAGAGCGCGACGCGTTTAAGCACACAATGCAAACAACTCGGATACTTCAGCTCCTGCAGCACTCGTCGGCTCACCCACTCGCCCATTTAACGTTCCTCCCTCCCACTCCCCAATCGACCAACATGCATTTTATGCATTTATGCAAACTGTTACAGGCCCAGCCAGCTCCAACCCCAAATCTGGATTGGGGCCTCAAACGTTCTCACTCACCCGTCCCAGCGTATTGTTGTCGTGTATCGCCTGCTGCAGTATCTGTAGATTGTAGCTGGTGAACGATAACCAAATCAGGTCACCAGGATATCCGTGAAAGTGGTACGTGCACGTTGTGTTCGGCGGAAGCGTGTGACGCGGACTCACAATGCGTCCCATGCGGCCGCGACGTGAGAATAAAACATCATCTGCGAAGGAGAAAGACAGAGAGATAGATATACTGAGTGGGAGCGTGATAAATAGAGATTATGATATGCATGTGTGTATGTAAATAACATGTACATATGTATGCATGCATGCATGTGTGTGTATGTGTGTGTGTGTGTGTGTGTGTGTGTGTGTGTCTACTGCGGTTTACACTGCCAACTCACGGCCATTTTTTAATATGCTCTAAGAATGTTGTGTGACAAGCGGCTTACATGTGATTTAGGTTAATTTACACTGTGCTCTCAGAAAGTCATTTTCCCATATGTTATCGTGCACATAAAAAACACTTTTGCAATAGCACAAATTGTGTGTATAAAGTATAACAAGCTAATAGAATAAATAGAAATATCTCTCATTGTCATCAGATTTATCAGTTAGATGATATAATACTGCGATTTCACATTTTACACTTGAGCCAAATTTCTAGTTACAGAATAATAAAATACTATACTAACCTAATCGCTAAAAATGCGATAGGCTTTTTTTTAGAATTTTGGTTTACAAGCTAATTATTCAAGAAATAGTAAACAAATTTTTGAGTCTCAGCTAGACTGGCTTAGAGATTCTCCATCGAAGAAAATGATATCGTTGGGCAACGTCGATAGAAGTAATTGAGGTTAAAATAGTTCTCATTAGATGTAAAGCTCATGGGAAAGTTGATTTAAACACTTTGCACGCCCAAAGCCTTAAAAGTTTCACGAATAAATGTATTTCTATAGTTGCAAGGCACTGTTTATTATCTGGAAATGCGAACTTTGACTGTTTAAAGTCAATGTGTGCAAATTCTAGCAACAATGTTGTTTTAACAACATTTTCGCAGGGTTGGTTCTTTGGGCATCCAAACAATATTTGTTCTGCAACTTGGCGCAACATTCAATTGCTAATATTGATGTGTATATAGAAGTAAGTTGAGGCTGCTGCTTAATGTTGCAATGGCAACACTTAACTTTAATTAAAGCTGTCCGAATGGCAACAAGCCAGATGAAACGAGAAAAGCAACCAAACAACCAAACTACATCTGGAGCTCACTTGAGCGCTCTGCCTCTCGGGCGAGGGGACAACTTTGGCAACTTTTGCTTCAAGTGACAAATTAAAAACGGCAAACAGGGAAAATCGAACGAAGCCAAAAAGCGATGGAAGCGCGCATTTCAATTGCTCAAAGTCGCACGATTTGTTGCAGTGCGGCACAGAGAGCGATACTTCGAGTGGATGTTGTATGTGTCAAGGTGGGTGGCTGAGTGCCGCTCTCTATGGAGGAAGCAAACGTCAACGGTATCGATGATAACACCTGTGCCGAGACCGAACCTCTTGCTGCTGCGACAGCTTTTCAACTTCAAGTTGGTGTACGCCAAAGAGTTTTTGATGTGCCGCATCGAGTGGCAGCAGGCGACAAAAGTTGCAGCTGCCACATAGGCAAAAGTTGCCAGCTGGACTGAGCTGGTGAGGACGAAATGTGAGAATTGGTTTCATTGCAGACTCTACGACTCTGTGGCATGTGGCATCTGGCATATGTGCGTTTCTGCCTCACGCCACAAAGCTAATACATTTTTATGAGCTTTTTATTGTCACATTGCGCTGGTTGGGCACAATTCTGGCCCATAAAGCCAATGCGAAACGCCTCGAGAGGCACTTAAGACTGCTTTAAGCAATTGTGTACTGGAATTTAAAAACCAAATTCTGGCATATATTGTGGGCAACTAAAAGAGTTTCTTATTTTACAAAATGAAGACATAAAAGAATACGATATTCTTATAAAATTAATTAAAATGTGAAAAAGCTAATTACTTGGCTGTACAAAACAATTAGTTTTTTATACAATTAAACAATTATATAATTATATTTATTTTCATGATTATCTTCTTTGTAAATATTAATACATTTGTTTCAAAAGTTTTGCGACTAACTTTCAATGGGTGTAAATTGAGCCAAACACAGAGTTACAGAACAGTAAAAACTCATAAATATAAACAGATTTCAATGCGATTTTAATGTGTAGATAGGACAATGCAATGGCATAATTATTGGCTGGTAGTACTGAGTTTTATGCTAATTCAGCGGAAATGCCAATGCTAATTCGGGCATATAAAATATGCGTTACGCCCATTAAAAGATAGGTTCGAACTGCATTTAAAGTAGACATGTGGTCAACCATGCATATTTCCTTTGGCTAGACTTCCTTCGGTTTTGACTAATTGTTTATGTGCCTAAAAGGCAGGACAGCTTTCATTGTTCTGCCAAACAAGAACTGATATATGCTTTATACACAACTGGGCAAGTGGCTGTATGTGAAGATAGTTGCGGTTTGTTGCGCCCTGGGGGCAATTGTATTTAATTTGTACAGCGGTCAATAACAAATCGAAAAATAACAAAAAAAAAACAAGCAATCAAATAACGTGGACAAACTAGGCGCTAGTCAATCAAGCCAGTGCTGGGGATAGGTTTGGTAGTCCCCACAAAAGGTCCGAACTCGCCACCCTTGGCCACACAATCAATAAAACTAACACCCCATAATTTAATGCCCAAATGCGTTACGTTGCGTACACAATTGCGACTACATTTTGTGGTCGATGCCGCAAAAACCCAAATGCACTCTAATAATAAATCGTAAAAATAACAATTTTATTGCCACGCTTGCGGTACGCCGGCAAAAACTACCAATATATATGTACGATTTACCTGAAAGTAAACTCCTACACTGTTTAACATTATTCCGCCGCACTCACTCTATCGACGAGTGCGTGGCAACGATAGTCGGAGTCGCACTTTATGGCATGCTGATAAGCATATTATTATTATTACTACTATTACGGCGGCAGCAGGTCCTACAACCGGCTACGACTACAGCTCCAACTTTGGCATCGGCGCCGATGCCAACAACAACAACACCGATACCGACACCGAATCCGATTCCGGGCCTTGAATTATTTCCGTGCAGAGCCATTGTTGTATTGCCCGGCAGTGCCGAATGGCATCGCTGCCATTTCGTATGCCATCGAAATTTATTACAGCCACTGCAGCTGAGATCGAAACATTTCCAACCAACCCACCCACAGGCTCTGCTCCTAACATCGAATGTAATTTTGGCCGTGCGCAAAAGTTAACTAATTCACGTGGCGCACAAAATATCAATGATTACATTTCATATACGCAATACAAAGTGAAGGGCCGTACACTCGTGCCGAGTGTCTACTGTGAATATACACATTTGGATCGCAGTACTTTTCATTGACTCTCGTGTGATTCAATAATTTTATTGGAATTTTCGATGACAGTTTTGACTGCAAACGAAAATGCACAACAAGAGATGACAGGCAAAATATGTTGCATATTTAGTTGTTGAAAAATTTGGGCCCAATCTAAAACAATCTGTGGAGACCTAAAAGTTTTCTTCCATTACTAGTTATATTATTAGTATTTGATTAGAATTGATATAGTGCTCAACAGAAAATGAATAGTTCCTAAACATATTTTACTCCTATGATAAGATATTAGCTTTTAGTTAGAATCTCCGCATCTACTCTCTTCTCTAAAGCCTATATAACTAATTAGCCAGCAAATATTAGTGCTTTAAGTTGCGTGAACGAAAGTGAGTTAATTACAATGTAAGGCGAAAAATTTCAAAAATTCCTACAAATAAGCGCGCATACAATGGTATGTTTGTATTGTGCGTATATATCTTGTATTTTTGGCCAAAATTACAAGGGCAGCGGGTAAGCAGCTAAACTTCAATTAATATGCTGCTGCATGCGGCAAGGGGTGGCAATCAATTTGGCTGATTTATATGTGATTTACCCAATAATTGGGAAGAAAACAAATGTGAACTTTATGCAGCAGCGGCTAATTGCAAACGATTTGTTTTCGCAGCAACTAAATTGCCCTCATCTGCAATCTCATACGCAAAATATATATATTTATATATACATATGTATATATATATATATATGTATAGAAGAAGTGTCAAAGCTGATGTAGGTCTGCTCCTCCAATTGATTTCACTCGTATCTGATGATAATTGAAATGCTTGACTGGGTGCCCTATCATGTGTTGCTAAGTTAGTGTTGTGTAAGGCAGCACAGTCATCAAACAAACCCAATAAATGCAATTATTTGAAATAGTTATCGAAATCTTACGTTTCTTGCGTGCCCTATGAAATTTAAGCCTCTCATCCATGCATTCGCGTGCTTCCCTGTTCGCAATCGTATACACAAACAATAAAAATTCGCGCTACTTAAAAAAAAAAAAAATACATAAGAATTGTAATGCTTCTAAATAATTATTATTGCCTTTTTGTTAGTTAGTTCTTATCTAACCAAAAGAATGCTTTTGTCTTTGGGCTGTGCGTTGATCATTGTTCATTTATTCAGTAAGGCAAACTATTTAAATAAAATAATCCAACAGACATAGAAATCAAAAAAATATATATTGTGCAAAGTTCATAACCATCAATGGCCACTAAAACAAAGCACAAACCATTGACAAATTCATGTATAAATATTTATTTTACATAAACGCGCGCACACACACGCACACACTAACGCAGACAAATAAAATGTTGTCGTTATGTGCAAATATGCTAATTTGCTGTTTGCACATCACAGCCCATGCATTGACATATTCTCGTTAGTTTCGATTGCCGGTTTGTTGTTTCATGCTCGTTCCTTGCATTTCGCCGCTGATTGCAAACAAAATTGCAACTCAATAAACAAACTAAACAACAAATATATGCTCTGGTTCATTCGGTCTCCAACCACTGAACCGCCACGCCCCACCACCATTGTCTGCCAAATCAGCCAGCCAATGACCTCATTTGAATGCATCCGTTTCTCTTGTGGTTCGATTTTATGACAAAATTATAATAGAAGGGCGTTTTCGTGTTGCTTTTCTCCTCATTTCAGCTGAAATTTCGAAATATTTCGTCTGGGTTTTCAAATAGGTCTGAATAAAAAAAGCTATATTAGATTTGTTTCAAAAGTTCGTTCTA